CGGACATCAGCAAAGGAAAGGCGTTGAAGAAGACCGTTACGAACGACCGATCGGCGCCGGTGGTAGGGAAGGTATCTAGCGGTCCGGGGCCATCACCTCTGGGTGGTGCGCCGCCAATCCCTGGCATGCCCAAAGCACCCAGCAATCTGGCGCCGCCTCCTCCCGGTAATAGAGCCCGAAGCAATAGTGATCAGGGCAGCCGGGAGACTGCTTCATCAAGCATGGATAGTGCGCCACAGTTGGGAGGTCTGTTTGCCGGAGGCATGCCCAAACTACGAAAAACTGGTGGAGGCGTAGATACTGGAGGTAAGCTCTTCCATTCACTCCTGAAATTGCCGAATGCTAACGATTAACAGCGAGCCGGGACTCTTCATATCTCTCCGACCCGGAAACACCATCTAGATCAGTACCGAAACCGCCTGCGATGTCCGCGCCAAAGCCTCCCCCTGGCGCCGCTCCTCCTATACCTGGAGGTCGACCATCACTGCCTGGCACTTCAAGCGCACCATCGTTCCATCCGTCGATAGCAAATCTCAGAAAGACCGCAAACAGCGAAGCTCCTCGGCCTCATTCGTCTGTTTCTATATCATCACTGAAAGGAGCGCCGCCGCCGTTACCGATAGGAAAGAAACCACCTCCTCCACCAGGCTCACGCAAGCCTTCTTCAACAACACCCCTAGCTCCTCCTCCACCCCTTCCGGGCTCTGCGGCACCTCCTCCTCCTTCCTCCTCTGCCCCCTCGGCGCCGCCAGCTCCACCACCACCTCCGCCATCTGCAGCACCTCGCCCACCACCAGCGCCAAGTAGATCACAACTCCCCCCTCCTCCTCCACCAGCACCCCCTAGTGCCCCTGCTCCGAGTATTGCTGTCCAAGCAGCTATCCGAGCGGCTGCGGGTGCCAGTTCGCCTACATCAGCACCTCCGCCACCACCTCCTCCTACCAACGCACCTCCGCCGCGCTCGTCCGCTCCCAGTCCACCCACTGCAGCACCCGCGCCGCCGCCGCCGCCTCCAAATGCAGCACCACCACGCTCTCAAGCGCCATCTGCTCTTCGTGCGTCCATGTTAGACCCTAGCATGTTTACATTGAGCCCGAACGGTGCAAAGAGCCCGAGTCCAACACGCAACGTGTCGAGCCCAGGGACTCGTCCAAGCAGTCAAGGGATAGGAGGCGGAGAACGGTTCATTGTGCAAGATCCCAGGTGGAAGTTTGTAGACGAGTCACAGTTCCCGAAGCCAAGAGACTTCCACGGCGGACAGAAACGTTATCGGGCTGGCAGAGGGAGCAGTGTGCCCCTAGATCTGAGTGCACTATGAGACAGCAGATCTGTCGTAGGGTGCTGTGTA